AGAGAGAGAGAGAGAGAGAGAGAAGACAGAATGAATCAGAAACAAAGAACTCCTTGCTTTTGAGATACACAAGAGCATAATACTACAATGTAAATGAGTATGCGACATTGATTATCTAGCCGTTTGCATATGTCTGAATAGTAAAACTGGACCTCTCCAAATTGCCCCTTCTGAAAAATTTCTGAATTGATAAAATACACTATCCGGTATAAGAAGTGTTCCATTAACATGTTTTAAGCATTAATTCTATCATACCAGCTCACGACTCGCAAGTGATAGTTATTGAATTGTAAAAAATAAATTTACAGTGTATGTGCAACATAATAGGTTACTATGTTGGAGGCTGTAGGACAAGCACATGACACACATCCCCCTACTCTCATATGTTTTATATAATAATTAGGAAAATAAAACACAGATATGTGAAAAGGTACCATACGTGAAGTGACTCTGTGGATGTCTCCTGGATGTGTCCCACATTCAGGCACTGTATTAACTTTGAGCATGTCATATGAAGGTCCCTCCTTCAAGAGCTTATAACGTGAGGACAGATGGACAACTCAATATTTAAAAAGTGAGAGCTGCCTTGCTAGGGGGAGCTCGGGATGCTGCGGGAACCATCTGTGGATCCCCTGTGGATTGGGAGCCTCTTTGTGGTCTACAAATCTCCTGCATCAGAACCACTTGGATGTTTAGTGATGAATTTAGATTCCCTGCTCTCTTAAATAAGCATCTTGGAGGTTGTTGGTCTGATAATTTGCATGAAATACAACTTCCTAGTTGTTTTTTTTCTACACACCAATGTTTGAGAACATTGTTCTCAGATGATGGTTCACAACCTCGGCTGCATATTTCAATCATTTGGGGATGGTAAAAAAAATAATGTCAGGGTCCAGATTTTGATTTCATAGCTTGGTTTTGATTCGTTGGGGGCAATGCCTCTTCTAGGAAAGAGTTGGATTGAGGAAAAACCACAGTAATGGAAATCAGTCACAGTAGGTTTTAAATCCAACTGTGTGAACTTGGAAAAGTTACTTTAACAATCCAAACCCTACTGTCTATGTATTTAACTGGGGATAAGACCTTATAATCTTGTTGAAGGTTGTAAATGTAGATCAGATATGTAAAGTAACTACCACAGTATGAGCACTCAATGAAGAGTTTATTATTATTTATTATTATTATTATCAATATTAAAATCTACCTTATAGATTGGGAATTGAAGTAAGTTAGAAGAAGAGAATAGATACTATTTTCCAATGAAAATATGGATTGCAATATTTAAAAACATGTAAATGAACATTTCCTGACAGTTTAAAGGTATCTTCAACATTAAGACCAACACACATCCAACTAAATTTCTTTTTAAAAGAAATTATATTCCTGAAGCAGGGTTACAGTATTCTAGACAGTCCTTTGAATCTTATGAATGATCTAACTTTCAATATTTTGCAGATAAAATAATAAAGATGCAGAGAAAGTGAGTGATAACCCACTTAGTCTCTGGAAGAAAACTAGGAGTTGTCTTTCCCCTGTATCTATTCTTCCTCCTTTCCTTAGTAAGAAAAATCTCAATTTTTTACTTAGAACAACAATATACTCAACTATAAAACTACATTTCCCAGCCTTCCTTGCAGTGTGGGGGTAGTCATGTGACAGTTCTGGCCAATGAGAATAAGCAGAAGCCACTGAGTGTGGCTTTCTTGGAAAACACATATCTGCTTAAAGAACGCTAATTAATCAATGAGAACTACAAATCTCTTTAGGAATCCAGTAGCTTCAATTTAGGTTGCCCTTTCATATGTGTAAGGGCTTGGGCAAGTGACTTTTTGCTTGCCAAGATCCCAGGGGACTGTGAGTCAAGTCCTGCCAACCGAGGTTAAAAGAGACACTTCTGTTTGTCTGTGCTTGCAGTTGGAATAAGCAGAGCCACCCCACTCAGGACCCGAGATGGACCTTTCATCTTTAGGAAATGTACAACACATGTAAGTAAGTTTTGGTTTCTGTGTTTAATAGTACTGAAGTTTCCCTCAAAAGCTCATGTGTGAAACAGTGCAAGAATTTTTCAGAGGTGAGATGATCATGAGAAGTATAACCTAACCAGTGGATAATCCACTGATATGCATTAATTGGGTGGTAACTGAAGGCAGGTAGGGTATGGCTGGAGGAAGTAGGTCATATATATTTTATTCCTGGGGAGCATGCTTCTCTCTGCTTCCTGGTTGCCATCTCCTGAGCTGATTTACTCTACCATGCCCTTCTTTCCACCATGATGTTCTGCCTCACTTCAGGCTCAGAAGTATAGAGCTGGCTAACTATGGAAAGAACCTCTGAAACCATTAGCCAAAATAAACTTTTCCTCCTCTACATTGTTCTTGTCAGGTCTTTTGGACACAGCAATGAAAAAGCTAACTAAAACATTAACTGTTAATTAAAAGTTAAGTTTTGACCAATGTCACTCTCTTAGTGTCTTAAATTTTCCACCTGACTTTTGTTAGAAGAATCAAAGGTTAGATTGGTCTAAAGAGAAAAGTCACTCTCAACTTGGGATCTTTTCTATAGAAGGAGAATAATTATCCCTTTCAAACTTGAAGACAGAGAGTTGAACTAGATGATCTTTCAAAGTCTCTTCCTATTCTAGGAACCAACTCTTGCCCCTTTTGCAAATTGTAAAATTCATGCATATGTGGAGTAATATAAGCAAGACGGCCTGAAGATTGATGCTAGAAGCTGAAGTTGCCTAGCAACTGCTGACAGGGATGGGAAATTGACTCCCCTTCCCCAGGATCCTGAATCCAACTTGTCACAGTTGCTGGGTGTTGTATTCTCTGACAACTCTCTATATAGCTGGCATTTATATTCATGCCATGTGGGGTATGTCTGAAGTCCAAGTGTTCATTCCTTGAACAGAAGGTCAACCTCTGGCTTCAATGAGAGAAGGCAGAGTGGTGGGTGGGCAGGTCCCTCCTCTGATGCTCAAATCCAACGTGTATTTGGCAGTAGTAATGGTAGGAGCCTCTCCGTGGGATGCTGAGAACATAGGGAATGGTCTCCTCTTACCTGCCACTTGAAGGTTTTCCCATTAAAGCCCATGTCTTGGTCTACACTGCATGGCTTTGCCCACCTTGTCTCAGTGTTGGAAAGTAAATTCATCTTATAAATGAACAAATCTTGTGTTAGGAACATCCTCTTTGCCAGATGTTTTGAAATGCCTTGCTAGATGCCCAGCTTGTCAATTTAATTTTCCTTCATTAGCTAGTTAAAATATTGAAGTAAAATAGCCAAAAACCATATAGAAGATGAAGAGATGGATGAAGAAAGATGTACTTATGTGCCCTTATTTGATACCTAAGTAAGTTGCTGATATGTGTTATCGGACATTGGAGTATTCTGTCCTCCTAGAAATGTAGTTGTATGGTGTGTGTGTTTGTGTGTGTGTGTTGGGGGGTGAGCATTTAGAAATGTTCAGCAGATTCATTGGCCTTGACATTCTTAGACTTTTACATCTACTTTTGCCTCCATGGACACCTGGTATTGTGTAAAAAGGAACATGCTAGTCCACCTTCTGAGCTGACCCTGGTCCCAGAGCTATAGACGTACTTAGCCTCTAAAGCCAGGGCGAACACACCAGCTGCTTCTGGAGCAGCTGCAGATGTCCCAGAATGCCTCAGTGTGCAGTTGCCATACAAATCTGTGGTGGCCTGGAAGGGAAGACATTGAGTAATAAGTAAAGAAATCACATTATTTTGAATCTCCAAACAAAGTGGATGATGGTATTATCTATTTCATTTGAACTATGCCTTGTTCTGATAAGATTAAGATGAAACTAAGGATTAACTCAGCATCCATATACCTCTATCTCTTTTGCCATAAATTTTAATCTGAGCTTCCTAGTAGCCCATGCAGAAAGGGACACATGATCAGTTATTGCTATAGTGTTCACAGGTAAGTAATTTCTTCAAAGAATCATCTATATGGCAAGTCCAGAGACTAGAGAGACATTTACTTCCTGAATCTGAAAAGGAAACATTATGAGGTGGAAAGTGATAAGCCAATGCTAGCATCTAGTCAATACAATGCTGAGTTTTGCTGCACTGATTGACTCTGGGAAAGCCTATGGGCCTCTGCACCAGTGTTTATTTTCCCTTCAATAAGGAAAGGGTAGTATTCTCAAAGAGGGAAGAAGAAACATGGTTGTCTAAACTGTACCTGGAAAGACAGAGAATCAAATATAATATTCTCCTATAGCTAAAATATATGAAGAGACATGTCAAGTCAAGACAATTTGATATGTGGACGAATCACCTCCACAACTCTTATTTAGGGGAGGAAGTGATAAAATGAGCTTTAAAGGACTTTTACAAAGAGAAAAACATCATTTTCAAGGGTTTGTGTAAGCCAGTGTTTTCATTAAGATCATGTGGAAACCTCTGTTTGTAGGATTCTATAGAGAGCCTATTATTTGGAGGAGCAAAGGATGAGGGAGGTTTAAAGGTATCTCTGGGGAAAAATCAAAATATTCTGAAGAAATTCAAGGCCTTTCCCCAGCTCAGGTAGAAAGGCAGTTGTAGACAAGGATTGAGGGTGGCCTTTTGGGTAGGGAGTGGAGCTTCTACAGGGGAGAGTGAGTCACCTCAAACAGAACAGGACTGAGGCCACCCTCCCTTTCCCTTTTCTAGGGGCTCTTCTCCCTTTCTTCCTGTACAGTTGGTAGAATAAGAAGGTCTGGAGGCTCCTTTTGCTTGGGAGGAACAGGCCTAATCTCCATCTTCCCCAGGACCAAGAGGGCTACAGAAGGGGCAGGCTGTTAAGGTCTAGACCTCTTCTAGGTAAAGGGTTTCTCCTGGCTCATGCAGAAGTCTGACCATTTTGCCAAGGAGAGAGCCCACAGGAGAATGTAGGATTGAAGAAAGACCAGAAAGGAATGTAGGATTAAAACACTGGATGGTAATAACCATTTTGTTCGGAGCTCCCATCCTCCTCTCTTGAGAAACCCCAATGGAGGTGAGCCCCTGGTCAAGATGTCACTCACCCAAGACTATTGAACCATGGGTGAATCTTTGTAAAATTTACAAATGCACAGCTTAAAAAAAAAATCCTGGTTTGGAACTCTAAGACTGATAAAGGAATAAAATAACCAGAGAGAGGAAAAGATCCACAGGGTCAATTATACTCTATAGGTGACACATTTCTAAGGGGCTTGGAGAATTTGTCTTTATATCTAGTTGACCAAAAAGGAAGACATTTTGCTCAGAAAAGGGCAAACAACAACAACAAAAAACAAAAACAAAAACCACTTAAATTTGTGATCCTTAATTTTTGTTTTTAAAATCATGGTTCCATTTAAGAATATGATAAAAATCACATCCTTTTCCCTAAGAATATATGCAGGTATGTTCAATTTAGGAGGCTTATGGGCCCAGGAATGTCCATCCATCAATGCTGATTTTTTTTTTTTAACTACCATAACATGGATGTGTTCTTAGCTAGGATGGGTCTGTGGTGCGATACCTCAATTCTTGTAATTACTTATTCTTAGAAATTATGTGTAGGGGTAACTTACTGATTAATCAGCTTATCATTATTTGTATGCCACAATGATAAGATTATCTATGGTCAATGAGCTGGAAAGGTCTCCTCGTTGTTCTTGCTTGCAACTTACATATGGTGTGTCTCTATCTTGATAACAAAGCAGAATTGGGCATAGAGCCAAAGCACCTTCCCCTCAGAACCTGAGCCTACTCTTTGAGGAAAGGAGGGAGGGAAGTCAGTGTGTCCCACCCTATCTCAGAGGGGCAGCAGACACAAAGAAAGGAGGAGGAGAAGTGGTTTCACTTACCACACCGGCCTCAGGGTTCCTCTTCCTGCCGTTGCTGAAGGTGGAGGCCAAGGTGGAGGAGCAGCTCTCGTCGTACAGGGCTGTCCTGCCGTCATTGATGGCCGAGTTGATGGAGATGGTCCACATGCTTGACGCGTAGCCATCACAATTGCAGTCATCATAACTGCCGCCGTCCCCAGAGGCCCACACGTAGATGCTGCCTTTGCCCCCGCGACCCTGGCAGAGCAAGGGAAGATGGTGCTGCCACGTCCAGCATCCAGGCCCAAGGCCTGCAAGGGGGCTGGCCCTGGCCTGGGCTGGGAGGCACTGTTCTCTGCCCCGGGAAGGTCCTGTCCTGGGGAGGGTTGGGATTTGGCTTCTTCATCAATTGAACTAAAGGACTGGACTATTCATTTTTTTTTTCCCTGGGTTGGAAACCAGACCCTTTTGATGGGAAATAGTGGAATTTTTTTTTTCCAGAAAAGATCCAATATAAAAAAAATCACCTGGATTTACAATGTAAGCTGGGGATAATGAGGTAAGAAAAACTACAGGAATCTATTTAAAATTTACAAAAAAAGTAGCACATGCTCATTGTAAAAAAAAAAAAAAATCTAAGTATATGAAAAGGGAAATGAAAACCAATGTCTCCAGAGGTAATCATTATGATCCCACTCTTATCATTTTCAGTGGAAACGTAAGTATACATATGTATGTCCTTAGACGTTAACTATATAAGATATGTATACATTTACATATACATGTTGATATTATAAGGATAAAGTGGACTTTTTAACCAAAATATATAAAAATTTTACATCTATGTATATGTAAATACATAGATTTTTTCTTTTTTATCCAATTGGATCATACTAGAATCCTACTAAACACAACATTACATGACATTTCACCCGTGCAAGAGAACATCAGATATAGGCAGAAAGTCTAATACGATAAAGTAGAACACACAGCAAATAAAACTTTAAACATATAAGATATTGCACAGTGATTATTAGTCACGAAAGGCAAGCTTTCTTATGAATACCTACAGTTAGCATTGCTTTGCTGTTCAAACCGTGTTCTTAGTGTTGTTTTTTTTTAAAGAGAGAGAGGGAATTTAAAAAAAATATTTATTTTTTAGTTTTCGGAGGACACAACATCTTTATCTGTATGTGGTGTTGAGGATCGAACCCAGCGCCACACATATGCCAGGTGAGCGCGCTACCGCTTGAGCCTCATCCCCAGCCCCTTTCTTAGTGTTTTTATCATTTTATTTTCTTTCCTTGTCTTCTGTGAGTTTTCTCCTATTGACCTCAACAACCCAGGATTGGACCCTTTACTTTTTGCTTCCTCCTCTCTTACCCTTGAGGCAATGGGGTTTGGGATTATTTGGCTGCGGG